AAAAAATTAAAAGGAAAAAACTATTTTTTTTTTTAATGAAATGTGAAAAAACCCAATTCTAAGGAATTGGAAAAACTTGTATGGGAAGTCACTTCTTGGAATTTTCCAAATTTCTGATTTTTCTCAGTATGGTCCACACCAAATAAATTCTGAAAATATTATCAAGAGCGGTACAGCCGTAGCATCACTAATAAACAAACACCCAATTTTATATACTAAAATAAACTACTGCCAGCACTCTGCCATTCAGTTTTGAGTCATATCAATATGCCTAGCATTTCTTTCTCTTCACTCGTCTGCTTCTATTACAGTTGCACTAAGTCAATGGCGGGGCAAAGTGGTATTCCCGAGGCTAATGCTGCAACGACCCATCTTGCATACCCCACACCCGACTGGAACAGAATATATAAACACGAGTACTTTCTGCGAGCCAACCGTCAGTAATGTCATCGGCCAGCGGTGGCAACTTTTCATTTACATGGCGCTCTCACAACACAGGTTTCTATGGCTGGGAGGTTTGTAAGATGGGCAGTTGCAGCATATCGCTGTACTACTGTGTCCAGATTCTCAGCCGATTTGAGGAATCAAGTTTTCCGTTTTTTCCCCTTAGGGTCGCCGGTTGCATATTCGATTGCAATTCAATCTCTTTGGCTTATTAAACGTAGACTAAACTCCAATAACTCTATCAACCGCTGTTAATTCCAAGTGTACACAGTTTCTACCAACCCGTTGCAGTAAGTTTATACACAATATTTTTACGTTCCACATTATTATTCCTCTCAGCCACTTTAATAGTTAACCCCAGGCAACGGCAAAAGTTCAGCTAACAACAAACAAATTTAAATGCAGAAAGAAAAGTTGCAACAACGTGCTGTTAGCTGTTAGCTGTTTACTAGCGCAACTTGCCACACACTTGTTATTTCTATTTCAGTTGTGCAACAACTTCTCGACTATTTAAACCAAATAAAAAGTTTTGCCTGTTAACTTTTGCTTTTGCGAGTGCAACAAATAAATTTTAAATTTCAATTCACACTAATGCACACGAACAAATAAAAAAGTCGAGAAGATGTTCAAAGGGGAAAAGTAACAAAAACAAAACAAAATGAAAGCGCGACTGAAGTAAGTAATAAGAAATAGGAGGAGTGAGACAGAGAAAAAAAACAGGAAAAAGCATGGTGTCAGGCCTTTCCTATAGTAGCAAGAAAAAAATAATAAATTACGAGGAATCCGCACACACAAGCACAGGAAGACCGTGATAAGTGTTATGACTCAACTCATGGCTGGGATGAGTTGCAAAAAAGGGGAGTGAGCTGCAGCTGGCGTAGCATGTGAATTGCCTTCCTCGTTCTTATATATTTCTCATGCATGCATGCATCCGTGCGCATGGTTATATAATTGCGAGCAGTTAATAAAAACACAATTAAGCAGCGCAAAACAAACTGGAAAAAATTGAATTAAAAGTGAAGTGCAGAAAAATAGAAAAAGCAGCCACTTTTTCAACCGTTGCACAACCACAGAAGCGAACAAAAACTGTTAGCTGTGTTAATGTACATACACACTGTGTTTGTATATTTAATATTTTCATGTATGTAAAAAGACAATTGCATTGCTAGCAATGTTGTTGTTGGTGAAAGTAAGGAGCCGTGGTATGTCACCTATGCAATACTCTATTGGGTCGATTCTATTCGTTGCACATTAGACTATTTTAAGTTATAAAATTTCTTAATTATCAAACTGGTGTAGACACCATTTAATTAATTTTAATGAACTTTATTTTACTTATGTTATTTTGTTTTTAATCATTATATTTTTTTCTTCTAATCTATTTCCTCTTATTTTCCTTTATTTAACTATAATTTTTTTATTTTGTTTTATTTAATTTTATTTTACTTTAATTTTGCTTATTTTTTTTATTGCTATTTCAGTAAACTTTATTTAGTATTCGTTTATTTTATTCTTGATTGTCTTTTTCATTTCATTGTTTATTACGTTATTATATTTATTTTCTTGTATTTAAATTAATTTATTTAATCTAATTTTTTTATATAATTTGATTTATGTCAAATAAATTTGATTTTCTATAATATTTTATTTAATATAATTTATTTTTTTTTTGTTTTATATTATTTTTTATTTTTTCTTATTTTATTTTATCCAATTTTATTTTATTTTATTTCAGTTTTTTTTTTATTTTATTTTATGGTTTTTTAGTTAATTGTATTTTATATTACATTATTTTATTTACTATTTTATAAATATTATTTTATTTTGATTTTATTTACTTAATTTTGTTTAATTTTATTTTTTTATTTTAATATATTTTGTTTTAAATTATTTTATTGTTATTTTATTTTATTTTAATTAAGTTATCTTATTTTATTCTAAGTCAAATAAATTTTATTTTTTTAAATTCTTTTTTAATAATATTTTATTTAATATAATTTATTTTTTTCGTTATATATTATTTTATTATTTTTTATTTTATTTTTATTTAATTTTATTTTTTCTTATTTTATTTTATCCAATTTTATTTTATTTTATTTCATTTTTTTTATTTTATTTTATGATTTTTTAATTAATTGTATTTTATATTACATTATTTTATTTACTATTTTATAAATATTATTCTATTTTGATTTTATTTACTTAATTTTGTTTAATTTTATTTTTTTTATTTTAATATATTTTGTCTTAAATTATTTTATTGTTATTTTATTTTATTTTAATTAAGTTATCTTATTTTATTCTAATATATTTTTATTTTATTAACTATTTATTTTTTCATTTTATTGAGTGTTTTAAGCCTCATTTTAATTTATTTTATTTTATTTTTTGTTATTTTGTTGTATTTTTTTATTTTATATTATTTCATTTTAATATCTTTTATTCTATTTTATTTTAGTTAATTAACTTTATATTAGCTTATTTTATTTTAATTTATTTTATTTGTATTTTTCTTTTATTAATTTTGGTTTACATTATTTAATTTTATTTTATTTCGCTTTATATTATTATTAATTTATTTTTTTATTTCATCCAATTTTTTAAATTTTGTTTAAATTTTATATTATATTATTTTATTTTATTTTATTTTGTTTGACATTATTTTACCATATTTTATTTTGTTTCATATTAATCTTTTTATTTTAATTCCATTTAAAGTCTATATTATTATTATTTATTATTTTATTTTACCAGATTTTATTCTAAATTATATTATAATACTTTATTTTATTTTATTTACTTGGTTTTATTATCTTTATTTTATCGAAGTAAAATATATTCTTTTAATTTAGGGACACCCTAACATACGAGTATGAAAGTATATTTTCATCTAAGTTTGAATAATCAAAAGAAAATTCTATTAAAACAAGTGTATAGTTCTATGACGCGGTTATGATATAAATGCTCTTTCTCGTACTGAAATAAGTAGTGTAAAATTGTTTGTACCGTTCGCTATTGTTGTTTCTGTTAACGCAGTGACAATTTGACACAACAGTAGTGAACCAAAATTTATTTGAACTCGAATATAGGTGTATTTATTTGAATAAGGCTTGACTAACGATAAAATGCATATTTTAGTATTGTTACCACGAATAAGTTCTCTAACTGTAGAAAAAGATATCTAATACCAGGGACGCTCGCATGGTTATGGATATAAAAAATTGATTTTTTTTACCGAAAAAATGAAAACCATATATTTGAAGAGAAAGTGTTTAAAGGGATTTTGCAATACGATGAATATTTTTTCAAATTACAGCTTCTCGAACACACCTGTCTCACGCATGCAAGTCAAAATTTCATAAAAAATTGAACGCGGTTTTGTCGAAACCATGATTTCCGATCCAACCGGGCTTGATCTATCCATCCGATTTCTTCTATGTAAAAACTGTTTCAAATTAGTTATTTATTAATTTTTTAACGTAATTGAAATGAAAAAAGTGGCAAAAATTTTAACTTTATAATTGTAATGAGTAATATGCAATAAATTTATTGTCTAAGTGGGTGGGGGAGAATGTGAAATGTATTCAAGTTAAGCACTAGGCTCGTTTCAAAAATAGAGGGTACCCAATGCCTTAGGAGGCTCCTGACGCTGCACAGACGCCAATCGCATACCACTCAACAAAATTGAGCAGGGATGGGAAAACGCAAAACAGATCAGATAATCAGATTTCTAATCTGGACATTACGAAGGTAAATTCCATTGCAAACAATGAACACTTCGCTGATCATTTGAGAATTGCAAAATCATTCATACATATGTATATGCTAGAAAGCAAAAACCCAAATAACAGGAAGGAATTAGCCAGCGCCCAGAGTTTTGCAAGGATTTACGCTCCTCGCGTAAGCATTTCGCAGCCATCATTTTGAATTTCGACTAGTTTTCTTGCGGTTTTAAAATCTCAAATAATAAACAAATTTAAAGTCAAAACTGGAAGTTCGTTCGCCCTTTCCTTCTCTCACAAAAAATTTACAACTTTGCCTGATTTTTGACCAATATCAGGGGAAGGTCCCCTTAAGTATTAGAATATTTTCCATATTTGTTTTCAGCTTTCTATAAACTACAATTTACTTTAAGTCAAATGCATAGAACTTGAATGCACCGAGGCTACTTATTTGATTTAATTATATTTATAATCCTCTCTGATTCACGCCATATGTGAAAAAATACTTTAATTATTATAATAATTTTTACTCATGGGGTCACTCGCTGATGGACCTCTGCATGTGCTGTGTGTTTTTAATTAAATTTGAGGGAAACAAAGACTAAGCAATGTTTGAGCGTGAAAATTAAGTTTGAAAACTGCGGTAAAACACTATTTAATTGTTGCTTAATGTTCTCTTTTATAAATTTAAATTTGAATTTTCGTATCGAACGAGTTTTGCTATTGCTTTAAAAGAGCTTATTATTTCCAATTAAAAGTTAAGTTTTAGTAAATAAATAATTAAATTTTTTCATGTGAAAGTATAACCTCTAAATTTCATATTGTATTACTTACAGTGCACAATCAACATGACACGCTTGCTGACCGTTGGCGGTATGCCATTGGAGGCAATGCATAAATAAGCGCCCATACTCAGACGTTGTACTTTGGTGATTGTTAAAAATGAGCCATTGTATGCGATCACTGAAAAGACAAGAATAAATAAATAGGTTTAAGGAAGTTTTTTTAGTTTCTTTTTTTTTGTTACGGTAAGTTAGGCAATAATATGACATATTATGACAAAATAATACGTATTCCTAGAAATCCCTCCTCATTTTATTATTAAATTCAAAATCTTTTTCTGGCCGTTGATCATATTTAGATACACTAAGCATGGGAATGTAGAGCATATTACTTATTTTACAACTTATCAGCAAAAATGATATACAAAAAATATGTATTCAGTTTCTTGTGTCACGTATGTGTTTATATAACCAAAATACAGGGTTGTTCATTTCATTGTTTCAAATATATAGCGCTATACTTTGACATCTGTTAAATCAAGCACGTTTTGTTTTAGTTAAAAATAAAAATTTATATAAATGGATCGTTTAACAACCGCACAACCCATTAAAATGGGTAAACCCAATTACAACAATGGTGATTCTAATGCGGCCACTTTACGCACTTTGCGAGTAGATTATGGTGCACATAATCGCTCAACTAGTCAAGCAATGGGTCAAATTTTAAGCAGATATTGTAAGGTCTGCGCCTAATTGTTTTGCTGGCTCCACCTCCAATATCGCTAGATTTAGTGAAAATGTAGCCGAAGATCCGTTCTCAAGAGCTGCGGCTTCTTTTCGGCACATTATGGCGTATTTTGAACTTGTTTTTACACCTAGATTCATATAATATCCAGCTCATATAACAACTGAGCGCAGCTGATCATTCACAACAACGTACATACATTCATGGGGTGTTCGAACAACACCTAGAGGATAGCAAATTTTCGAACAAAATTTCCATCAGTCACGAAACACATTTTTCACTCGGAGAAAATAAGCAAAATTGTCGCATTTGTGGCTCCAAGAACCCCAAAATATTTGATGAGAGAGTAGTGCGCTCTTTGGTCCGAAGGTGTGAGTAGACTTTACGTCTTTGAAAAGGATAACGGCGAAACTGTTGCTATCAATGCGGAGCATTGGGGCCGTACTATAATTTTGGCCTGCTATTAAAGAACGCGATTTAGACAAAATCTGGTTTCAAAGAGATGGCCGCGTAATTTTTTGTCTGAGTGTTTTTAATTGGCCTCTAAAAACGTGCGATTTCACACCTTCCAATTTTTTGTAGACCTACGAAACAGGTCGTTTCAAGCAGCAACTGAAGACCAACATCCGCCAAATTGTGGATTTGGTACCGCCCAATATTTGCGAAGAAGTGATTGAAATTCAAAGTTCAAACTTTATAATGAAAATAATTTCACGAAAAATATTATATTAAATGCGTTTTATTTACATTTACTGTGGAAACCACATATTGTATAACCCTGTTAAATATTAATATTTCAAAACTCATTAATTTTAGTTCATTCATTCGTTACCTTACTATTTGTTCTCTTTGTTCACATTTATTTTGACATCTACATATCTGCGTGTACATACAAAGCCCATAGATGTCATTCCATATGTCACTGGCAAAATACTTTTGAATTTAGCTTTGTAAGTATGTGTTCATAAATGCAAAATACAAATTGATTGCAATAATGGTAATCTGAATTTTGAACGAATATATTTCCGATTCATAGGCAAACATTAAGATCAAAAAGTTTCCGGAAAATGCGTTTTTGCGATATTCGCGGTTTGGTTCATCATGAATTTGCTTCAACGGGACAGACGGTCAATAAAGAGTATTACTTGACCATTTGGAGTCGTTTGCGTGAACCCATCCTTCGGTAAGGGCCATAATTATGGGCCTACAATTTCCGAAGACTTTCATGACGATAGAGCGTCATCGCACCGATCTGTAGTTATGAAGGATTTTAAGACCAAAAACTCGCTCAATACCATCGATCAACCACATTATTCAACAAATTTGGCTCCATGCGACTTTTTCCAAAAATCAAGTTGCCACACCCGTTGGAACCCGTTTCAACTCGATTGAAGGTGTAAAAGGAAATTCGCCGAGGGATTTGAGGTCCACTGATTTCAACATCTGCTGCAAGCAAAATGGATTGATAGATCGCGCTCATTTTTGGCATAGTAATTTAGGGCAGTGTTACCAACTGAACAAAAAAAAAAGTGCTGAAAAATATTCAGCGCGGGCATGTTTAAATGATATTTTTCGGAAAATTTTTGGTCTTAATGTAAGCATTTGTAAGCGAATGAAATTCATTGATTATCAATAAAACAGTTGAAAACATTTCAAAGCTACATTGACGATTATCCCAGTAGAGAACAATTTTGGGCAAAAAAAGGACATAATTACAAAGGAATATACTCGTATGTACTTATAAGTAGGGCAAAAAGTTTTGTCTCTATAAAAGTCAAACTTCCGACATAAGAGATATTATGGCTGAAACTATTGTGGTAAGGAAATTCATGTGAATGTTTTGAATAAGCATTTTTCAGAATTTTATTTTTTTAATCTAAACAACATGAACGTCACCTTATACCACAGGAGATGTCGCTGCTGCTAGTACAATACGTGACTCATCCCTATTGGGAAGGGTCCTGTTAATCAACGATCCGTTACACCTTCCACCTTCTGTGGAAGGCATAAAAGGCCGATGTTGCCGTCCAAAACTCCTCTTTTTTTGCGGGACCTCAGCAGCAGCAACATCAGGTTGAGGATTGCCTGAAGATTCGGCCCTGTCTTACGATCCCCGTCTCCAGAATTCAGGAGGAATTCTGGCCCATCCATCCCGGCACGAATAATAGGGGTAAAAGAATTATTAATTATTTTTATTTTTAACTATTGATAAGAATGTCTAATCAATTGATTGTCAGTCAAACTAGTCACTCAGGTTTTGAGATATTTCAACCAATTTTGCCACTCAAATGTTTTGATATATATAAACGATCATTTGTCGGAATCACACCCACACTCTCGACTATACCAAATAGCTCCTACATATCATTTTTTTAGATTAGAAAATTCGGTCTAAACTCCGTTCAGAAAGCTTTCAGTAGTTTAAAATTTAATATTCTACAGTTGTAGAATTGGCACTGATTTTTGCAGAAATGAGATACTGAGTTAAAAATTCATCAAAATATGAAATTCGGTATTCTACATCGATGACAGAAATCTTCTTCACCAGCACCATCCAACCATATTTTCAGATATGAGAATTAATATTTAGTATTGAAATAAATTTCCATAAACATGATATAGTCGAAAAAGGTACATATACGGACTCTTCTTTTCTGTTTTTTTATTGTTTTACAAAATTTTTTTTTCCAACTCTTGTTGCAGGCATCATACGGCTGTGTATGTGGTCAGTATCGCTTTCAAAATATCAACAAAAAGCCGCTATCAATAACACACATTTTAACCAAATCCGCAATAATTACGTAATTAAAAATAAATTGATTTTGCGAAATAACAGTAAATAGAAAAAGCATTTAAATAGGATCAAATTAAATGATTTTCTTTAGTTCAAAAAATAATACCAAAACTATCGAAGCTTTTAACTAAAAGTGGCAACGTTGACTAACACCAAAGGTGTGTTGAGTCCTAACATTTGGTGTTTAAGGTTAAATTACAAATAATTAGGCATTTCATTTCAATCAATGTGACATATGTGTGTGTATACATATGTGACATATAATGTTTCGTTGCAAATTATAATTAATTGGAATTAAATAGATATGTTGTGACAAATATATATATATACAATGTGTACTCACATCTAATTCAAGTTTGATTGATTTTAAACTATTTCAAATTAATTTCCATTTCCACATTCGAAAAAAAACATTTCAATTTTTTTTACATCTAGACAGACGGTTATCTACAATTTTGGGATATTTTTCACTAAACAAATACAACTTAATCTATTTGTTTAACTGTGAAAAACTTTTTTATTAATTATCACCTGCCATATACGAGTGCTCTTTCTGCCAATTACCAACGCACAAATTTATGTTGCAATTTATCTATTATATATATAAATATATATATATATATATATATATATATATATGTATTTATATATATATGTATATGTATATGTGTATATGTATATATGTATATGTATAGCTGTCTGCTCTGTCATAAGCTTTGCACTCTTCTCATATGGCGCTTGTCATGACTTTGTTATTGTATTGATTTTACTCCGTTGTGTGTGAATCATGTTTTGCTCTGTTTTGTGTTGTTTTGCTGTTTTGTGTCTAACCACATAATGTGCAATGTGTGTTGTATAACATTCAACAAGCAACAAGCAACAAGCAGCAAGTGGCAGCCTCAGGGAAATGGAAGTTTTGGAGAAATGCAATATGTTGCAATGTGTGGTGCACGAATGTGTAACCGCGACACGTGCAGGCACTTAGGATGCACACTCACCTTTGTATCTCTACACATACACATACAAATCGACCATGCACGTATGCAAATGTGAAAGGGAAGTACTAGAGTTCCTATAATACTGTATCCAACCTTTTGATTTTGAGAAGAACAAAAGAGTTCTTGTACATACATCGAATGCTCTTCAGTTTTTTATTGTCAATTTTAAGTGGAAAAGTATGGGAAAGTATTTAATAAAACATGCATTTTATTTAAATTTTTATTTTATTTTATTTACATATATGTAAATGGCTTTGTACTGACTGACTGGAGGATCTACCCTCAGCCGGACCCGGGGATACCTGTAATTTGGTGGTGTAATACTACCTTCCAGACTAAGAAATATCATCAAGCAACTTGGTTGTCTCCAGATCGAAAAACCCACAACCATATTGATCATGCTGTGATAGACCGAAGACAACTATCCAGTATGTTAGATATGTGAAAGTTCTGATATTCCAACTTTGACTCGGATCTCTCTGTTGTTCAACGAGCACACGCACGTGCCTCTGTGTATCAAAGAACGCCCGTCAACAAACACAAGGAAATGCACGACGTCGAAAAGCTGAAATCACAACAACCAGCCGAACGAGAGCTGAAGAGGGGAGTGAGACGCATCTGAGTACAAAAAAGAAAGTGGCCGGGATGTGTGAGTATGAAGAACTTGAGAAGCTCGCCGACAATGATAATGCTCGAAAATTCTATGAGAAGATACCACGACTTACGGAAGGTTTCAAGACCAGAGCCGACTCTTATCTGACTCTTGGACAGGAAAAGGTGATCTAGCCACCAATGCCCAGACTATACCGAATTTATAGAGGGAACACTTCTTCTGCCTGCTAAATGGCAGAGAAAATGAAGCACCTGGAGATGGTGAACCCGAAATCCGGTAGGAGCTGACGATCTAGAAGCCAAGCTATTCAAACATGGCTGTGAAGTGCTGACAAGGTGCATGCATCAGCCAGTTTGCAGAATATGGTCGGACGAAAGCATGCCCTATGCATGATAATTGGAATTTGAGTGTGCTCCGCACAATCCATAAAAAAGAGGACCCCACAGTCTGCGTCATTTACCGTGCCGCCGTCGACAGCACGAATTGGAGCTGCCTTTATGCCGCTATGTCTGAATTTGGTATCCCCGCAAAACTTATGCGCCCAAGTAAACTGATGTTAAGCCACACTAAAAGCTCCGTCAGGATCCTAACTTCTATATCGACGAGGTCTCAACTCCATTATTAGAAAAAAGGTACAATCTTCTATAAGAGTGTTCAGCTGCTGCCGTATGCCGACGGTATTAACATAATTGTCAACAACCGCGCCGTGAGTTCTGCTTTTTCCAGTTCCGAAATGGAAACAAAGGGTATAGACCTGGTAGTGATTGAGTGCAAAACGAAATATTTCCTGTCATCAAACCAACAATCTTCGCATTCGCGGCACGTCACTGTGTCTAGGCATAACTTATGAGTCGTAGATAATTTCGTCTATCTTGGAACCAGCTTTAACACCAATAAAAATATCAGCCTTGATATCCAGCGCAGAATCACTCTTGTAAACTGGTGCTACTTTGGACTGAGTAGGCAATTGAAAAGTAAAGACCACTCCCGACGAACAAAAACGAAACTCTACAAGTCGCTCATCGTTCCCGTCCTGCGATATGGTGCTAAGGCATGGACGATGACAACATCTGATAATTCTGCCTTAGGAGCTTTTGAGAGAAAAGTTATGCGTAAGATCATTTAGGTATTGACAAGAAATGGCAGCTACTATATCTATGTGCTGCACAGAAGAAGAAGTTCGGCATGTATTGTAGCTTAAGCATCTGGCAAACTGTTGCAGTATCTTCCAAGCCGAAATATGTGCTATGGAAAAACGATATACGATAGTGAGTAGATCTTGTAAAATGTAACGACAAATATCATATCTGCCGAAATTGGTGATAGATGTTTCGATGTGCTGTTCATCTGATGTTTTTCCTGCAAATATACGGAGAATACAATTTATTCTACACTCGGAAAAATCGAAATTGTTTGAAGAGGGGCGATCGCCATTATACAACTTAATTCTAATTTTTTTTTGAAAATACTATTTTAATGAGATAGCCATATCTATAATCAAGAAATTGAGTTGCAACCATGGCACTATTTTCTTTTTTTCGATGATTTTTGTTTCTTAAATGTTGTCGCACCTGCCCTATAGTGACGGATGATTTCAGCTCTTCATACTTTTAGGCCCTTTCAGATATGACTTTAAGGGGCAAAATAAATCGATCTTGTTTTCATATTTCGGTAGACTAGACCTTTAAAAATAACATATTAACGTTTCAAGTCCATATCGCAAATAGTTTTTGAGTTATATCAATAGCAAGAGCAGCCGCTCGGCAGCTAGAGAGTCCCATTACCCACGAGTGAAAACGATCAATTTATCTTTAAACGCGTTTTTCTCGAAAAAGCATTTTCCGAATTTGCTACAGTGATAACTCAAAAACAAATGGTCTGATCACTATCGAATTTTTTATTTTTAAATGTTCCATATATAGTTCTCCGTACAATGACCCACAGATTTTTGATCTGATCAAAAAATCGAATTTTAACAGGCCAAAAACGGCCAAAAGTTTGGGTAAAATTCGACAATTTTTTTTAAACGCAGCCATAATGTCAATTTTTAATTTTTAATCGTAGGTCATTGTACAGACAATACATACATACAGAGAATTTTTTTTTCGATTTCATCCACGCTGAAGGACCTTTTTTCGCGCCGTTGGAGATCAACTATAACTTAAAAAATATTTCACTGTATATTCTTGAAATATGTATAAATATATTCTTTTGAATTTCAAAATAATTAAAAAAGTATATTTTTTAAAGAAAAACCCCCATTACATTAGGTATGCCACTTGAAACTTATTGAAAGTAGCGGGTTTAGATAGAAAAGTTAAGCCATTAATATGAGTGAAAAATGTAAAATATCCAAAGGAAGTATTTCGTAATTGATGGCTTAAGATAAAGCGTAGAAATGCAAACTGCTTAAGTAGAAACAGAACTAGAATTACTTTTTATTAAATTTTATAGGCGCGATAAAGACGAAATTCCACTAATCCACACTGAATGACAGTCTATATTGACTTCAATGATGCGCCATGTAGAGTGTCCGCTAGCTCGAATTGGCTTTGACTAAACCATAAAACTTATATCATCAGGATGTATTCGTTGCAGCTTTGAGTCACGGTTAAGTGATCACAAAAAGTTTGTGGGCTCCCACATATGAACTAATGCGTGAAACTTGCAAAATCGTTTAAAGGTTTCGGTAGGTGTGGGGTAGATGTCATCATTACTGCCGAAAGTTCAGATCAGACTGATTGACATCACGGGTGGCTCGAACTTATTACATATGCGGTTAATGGTTTTTATGTAAGTAGCATTTCCATGTAATGGAAGAGCTGTAGATAAATGCACCTCCGAGGGCCTCTTTTTCTATTTCCAATATCATTACCTCATGAGCTGTATAATAAGTACTACGATTTCTATGATTTTCGGTGTGTATATGTAGCATCATATGTGTGCAGAATACCGAATTTCACACCATCAGACAGCAACACTCAAAACTTTGCACTGATTTTACAAGAATTTTTCCTTACTAATTTTATTTGCTTATCACCAAAATGTTCCGATTTTTTTTGGGGGCTATGCAATTTCTATAATCAATAGTTGATTATTTAACATTTTAATTATTTTAAGCGTTGAAAAAAAAAAGAATTTGTTGCTTGTGAAAATATTTTTTCCACTGACGCCCTGCTTTAAAGGTGTTACATATTTCTTATGTAAGATTGCTTATTTGCTTTCATACTGAGCGGGATTTGTTTGTGTAACGACAATTGAAAATTTTCACAGAAAATTTCATTAATATTAAATGTGATAAGAGAAAATTATTATTTATTTTTCATATCTCCATTACTTACCTTCCGAGTTGTTGGGCAATGGTATCGGTTCGCCACCCTCCCGTCGCCAAGTGATGGTGGGAGTTGGTGAGCCAACAGCGGCGCATTTCAACGTCACATTGGAACCCTCTCGTATTACCATATCCGTGCTGGTTGGATAATCAAGGATATCAGGTGGCACTGAATACGCGAAATGTGCGAAATGTGTGGCATAAGCGAGAGCAGTGAAGCCATGACGAGAAAGAAGATGAGAAAATTTGCCGTAGTGATGGACCAAACAAGCGGCGCACAACAAGAACGTTGGACAACATTTCATTATTTTGTTGTTGCCAGTGCATTGTTAAAATTGTAATTTTTTCCCGTGACAATTTTTTGTTGTTAAAGAGTTGTTATTGCGTTGCATTGTGTTGTGTTGTTGCACGATGTTGACATTATATGTACAGTCATTGTTACGTTGTCCATTGGAGTCATCATCATCATCAGCATCAGCGTTAGCATCACCGTCAGCGTCAACGTCATTGTCATCAGCATCAGCAGTATCATCATGATGTTGCAACAGACGATTTTGATGTTACACGTGATTGGTGGGTTGCAACAGCAGTGTTGAAATGTTAAAATTTACCCGAAGGCAGGACGATATGCCAACCGGGCGAAAGGTACGTTTGGTTGACGTTGTTGAGTGGTTAATGGCGGCATGGGGATGTGTATATACGTATACATATATATCAGCGTCGTTGACAGTCGAAATGTTGGTTATTATTATTTAGTTAGCAGCAAAAGCAGGAAAATTGCGATAACATTCGGATTTCCCACGCAGACAAGTTTTATCAGTTTTCCAGTTGTCAAGTGTTGTACGAAAGTGCAGCAAAAAGAAATAGTGAAAAAAGGAAAAAGAAAAATAAATTAGAGAAAAATATATTTTTTATTAGTTAGTCAAGTGTAATAGATATTTGAAGCTGCAAGCAATTTCACTACATATATATATTTACAAATAGATATATATGTATATATTTATATACAATATATATATAAATATGTATGCTTTTATGATATAAATTCTTAATATATTTTAAGTTTAGGAAATTTAACATAGAACTGATAAATTTTAAAATATACTAAGAGAGCGTTTTACAATTAGGACGGAGTATCTTGAAGGTAAGTCGGAAGTACTCGCTGCAAAAGTTGCTTTACTTTGTCTGAATCCTTATGGGGCATGCACATGGGATTCTCTACTGTTCTTGAGCGTTTCGACTTCAACCTAACTTCTTTGATTATTGTAACCACTATTGGCTCCTTTGCCACCATAGAACTTTCATTACAGAACTGAAGATGACAAAACCACTGAGCAGAAGTAATTATGGATGGTCCAGGCATTGGTGCAAAGCTCGGCGTGATAATTTTCTTTAGGAACATTATCAGATTTTTCGGCAGAGATTGCTGTTTTCGAGGAAACAATACGAGCAGTTCTTCAGAAGGTGAGACAGACATGTCGTACAAAGCGCAAATATAGGCTTTTTGATTAACTTCCGAACGACTTAAGGCAATATTTTTTGGCCGAAGGTGGAACATAGGATAGATCGCTCCTAATATAAAAAGCTTTGAACAAAGTCGGAGTTTGTAGCGGATATTGTCCAATGAACAGTCTTGAGGCTAGGTTTGGGATTTTTCTTATTGTAATAGCTGTCGATTGCGGAACCTTGACTGGATGTTCCCTAATAAGTTCACCAACTTGGCCTCTATTTGATATACATATCTTATGCTCTTATCAGAATCCTCACTGGTCAAACTAAAGTGTTGTTGCTATACTGTAATAGCAAATTTACATTCCTTTTCTTTAAATTCAATCAAAGCTATCCGAAGGGTTGCAAAAGAAGAAGAAATTAAGTTTGCGTTCGCCCCTCGGTAGGGAATATTAAATTTAATTTCAGAAAAGAGAAGTGGATCAAAAATAGATAAATGGATCAATCATAAAACATTGCCTAAGCCTCTTACTACAAAGAGCCGCGAGACCTCGATGCTCGCTTATACATAGATGTTGTAGATGAAACAACAATTTCTGATGAAGGAGTCGGCGGAGTCTATTGTATAAGCTAGATCTCAGGGAACTCTTCTGGCTTCCAGAGTATTGTAGTATTTTCCAGCGGGGGCCTTCAGATATAGCAAATATAGAAAACTATATACGAAATCTTAAGACGTATGTCGACAATCATGCTGCAGTTAAGGTAATAATCTTATCAGAAAATGTACTTAGAAAGGCAGGGAGGCAACAGACAGGGTAACCGAGTATGAACGAATGAATACATACTGTATTCCAAGCCACAAAGCCATTATGGTATCAATATAAATGTTGAGTTTGCCAAAAGTACCATCCATTTACTAACAAAACACGAAACTTCCGACAGAGCTAGGTGCCACATCAGAGTGATATGAAATTATTAGCAGTGACACATGTAAAACCGTAGCGTAGAAAGCATGAGTGAGACGTTAGCTCACCTCCTCTGTTTTTAACCTGCCTTAGCTCGAACTTCCCTTTGACTCGGAGATATTACCAAGGAAATGATGTCGTGTTGCACTTAGGCCAGGGCTCCTTCTTGTCTTTATCTCTGCAGCCGTGACCAAAGACATTGAAGAAGTAGAGCTCCCATCTGCCATTGGGTAATTACGCCGGTTTTAACATGCTCATGAAGGTTCTGTTTAGAAAGAGTAGAGACTTAGTTTTTCGTATCGATCAATATTCAAATCTGACTAGTCACACTGCATGTGGCTTCACCCTGCCATCTGCTGGTGTATGGCGAGTGCAGGTATTTTGCATAGGAAAGAGGTGTACTCATATCGTGCACAGAGTTTAACGTCGTAAGTTTTGTGTTCTTTCTTGATAGCTTGTCGACCTCCAAATGCTCCGATGCACCAATTCACGGGCGTTTCGCATACAGCCGATAATTTGTTTTTTTTTTAAGATATCCTCTCATCTTATTGTCGCCATTTAGGTGACCTTTGAGCTGTTGTGATTACAAAGAAGATATTTTGATGATAGCTAAACTGTCAGATTTTATTGTGATGTTGGTGAAATTTTGCGTTAGAGTTGTGCTACCATGAAGCGCCTTCCATTATTGCTGTTAGCACAGCTCGAGAGCTGCTGTTGTGGTTGGGAAATCTCTTGCTCAAGTTGATTGCAAGTGGTTGCGAGAGAACTCCGCAGTTCACCCAGCCATTGAGTTTCGAACCGTCAGTTATGATGGATACGGTTCGATACTACAATATTGTTCTCACTCATACGACTCACGGATTTTTGGTGAAATGCAAAGTACTAGTAAAGACTTCAAAAATGGAACTGAAAAAGCTATGATGACTAGTTTAGTTTACAACAGAACGCACTTCTATCTGGTGCCACAAGAGTCTAATGGATCTCTGTAAGGTGTATCAGCCGGCCAGTGCAACCTAACCTAATTTAATTGTTTTTATTTCAATCAGAAGAATTTTAGGCGCAATATATAAACCTTAACATTTACTCAAAATATTTAAAACCAGTGTTCAACAAATTTATTGAAAAAGCATGCATATTATAGTAAAGCGATGAATATAATCCATATATGAATGTATAAATATATGTGTTATTCCAATTAAACTCCAAAATATCTGTGCTAAAATAAAGCAATGCTATGAGAAAAATTCAATAGCTGTCATTGCTTTGCATTTAAATAATGTTTACGATATAGCACACATATACATATATGCATATGCATGTAGCAGAATTCAATTTCACATATATTGGAGATTTTTATTTTTAGCTGAAAACTTTTATTTCACAAAATTTAAAGAAAAAATTTGAATAGGTAATATACACAGCTGTCCATGTGCTATCTGTTTGTATGTATGTGGTGTCTTTGCGAGTGGCGTGTAAATTTTAAAAACTCATCACCAATGAGAAACGAAAAATTCATATTTTTATGAAAAATATTTTTGTAATTGTGGGCAGCATAAACTACATAAAGCACAGGTAAAAAAATTAAAAAATATATAAAATAAAAATATTATTTGTTGCTGAAAAAACAAAAAAAAAAAATTAAACTGAAAATATGTTATTGAGTGATGGCGGGTTGGTAGCACACACGCCCGAGTAAAGTTTGAAGTGGTAGTGACAGTTGCGAGTAGTTCGTGTTGACTTTAACTTCCAATTTAACTATGTGCTTCGAGCCATAGTATAGTTGAAGAGAAAAAGCCAATTTGTTTTTATACTTATTTCATGCTAAAAAATGCTATATTTTGTATTTTTAGTATTTTTTTCATTACACATTTCTTTTAATTTTTTTAAACTTTATTATAAAATTTTTTCATTAGTTTAAGCTATGGCGCTGCAGGGGCGCTGTTAATTAAAAATGCATAAAAATATATTTTTACGGCTGAGCTCACATACTTTTACTTAAAAAAAAAAAAAAAAAAACTGCCACAAACATTATACATTTTCGTTTACAAAAAAAAAATACAGTGAATAAAAAGTGTATGAATGAACATATATAATGTGTATTAAATAAATGTGAAAAATAACGATAAGTGTAAAAATTGAAAACAGGAAAAAAGTGGCTTAGTAAAAAGTAATCCATTATTTTTGCAATAGAAGGCTTTAGTAATAAGTGCAAGAGACGGCTGATAAGTTCGCGTCGCGTAGTAAGAGATGACACAACATCTCGTTACTATTGTAGTTTAATTACAGGACTCATAATTAGTATAAATAGCATTACTTTTTTTATTAGATTCACTAATATTTCGTGTCTGGTACAAGCAACAACACTATATTAAAGGAAACTGGAAAATCTCGCAAATTTGGAGCCGCGCTGTGATTAAATTTCTTGTAAATATGAAGAAGTACGATGAAAGAAAGTTCTTCAGGACTCTTTCCCTTAATACACAATGGCGGAAAAGTGGGTTCAGCTATTTCAACATGGAATAGAGACCTGTAGAAATGAACGCCGCCCGTGGTGCCCAGTGACGGTCGTGGCCGAAAAAATGTTCAGAAAGTCAAAAAATTAGTACCGGCTGATTGAAAAACTAAATTGTGGCAGATAGCAGCAGCATTGCAGGTTAGCAATGGACGAGCTGGATAGATTTTGTATGAACATTTGAATAAGAAAAAATTAGTGCACGTTGAGTACCGCGATTGGAGAGTTTTGAAAATTTGTTGT